CAACAAACTCAAATGTTGACCATCATTGGTCCTCTTTCCCACATTTCTTCAGGGTTGTAATATGGTTAGTGTCTTAAATATTCCAGGTCAATCAAAATTTGTTACGCAACATTTCATAAGGTACACATAATATTTCAGATAAAACAAAAAAGCTGCTCTACAAAATTCTCCCAATATCAGCCAGCTTACTAAATGTGAAGTTCTTTCTGACATATCTGAATCTTAAATGCAGCACCAATCACAATGATTGACCCAATTATAGCTAAATCTGTCATATAATGTCAGACTGACCTAATATTAATTTTATTTCCTACAGATTAGTGAGCGAGACAACCCAGCCCTCACACCAATCATTGATGCCTTGGATATGATCCAGGATCCAGGTATATAACGGGAAACACCATCAGATAAAGGAATATTGACACAATACTTATACAATCCATACTTACCAACCGAAACTTACACAATAGGGATATATTGACAGGAAACTTACACGATAGGGATATATTGACAGGAAACTTACACAATAGGGATATATTGACAGGAAACTTACACAATAGAGGTATATTGACAGGAAACTAACACAATAGGGATATATTGACAGGAAACTTACACAATAGGGATATATTGACAGGAAACTAACACAATAGGGATATATTGACAGGAAACTTACACAATAGGGATATATTGACAGGAAACTTACACAATAGAGGTATATTGACAGGAAACTAACACAATAGGGATATATTGACAGGAAACTTACACAATAGGGATATATTGACAGGAAACTTACACAATAGAGGTATATTGACAGGAAACTAACACAATAGGGATATATTGACAGGAAACTTACACAATAGGGATATATTGACAGGAAACTTACACAATAGAGGATATATTGACAGGAAACTAACACAATAGGGATATATTGACAGGAAACTTACACAATAGGGATATATTGACAGGAAACTTACACAATAGTGATATATTGACAGGTAACTAACACAATAGGGATATATTGACAGGAAACTAATACAATAGGGATATATTGACAGGAAACTAACACAATAGGGATATATTGACAGGAAACTAACACAATAGAAAGGAGATATTGACAGGAAACTTACAAAATAGGGACATATTGACACCATGCTTAATACTCAATGGGAAATTATTGAAACAATATTTAGATAATTACAATTATTGCTGCATTATTGATAAAAAAAAACTTCCACAAAGTTCAATTATAGTGATCAATTCCTCATATTTCAACTTTCACTCATTTTTCAATCTGCTCTGTAAACAGGGTGAATGTTTAAGAGAAGCTTCAGTTGTATATTTTGGGCTGTACATAAGGGGGAATTAAACATTGGTAAAAAAAGTGAAGGTGAAAGAGAGCCTGTTTAAATATTTCCCTGTGTGCTGTAGATGTTTACAGTCAAATTTAGAATGAAGTATATTTACTTTTTATTTAAGATATCAATATGGAGGTAGAGATTCCAGCCACAAGATTGCGTGATTTCTTGCCAGAAGACACCAGTAAATATTATCGTTACAATGGGTCTCTGACCACACCGGGCTGCTTCGAAAGTGTCATCTGGACAATATTTGAAGATAAACAGACCATTTCGTTTAAACAGGTAAGCAAAATTTCATTTAGAAGCAGTTCTATAAACATAATCTCATTAAGACATGTAAAAATTGAATTGTCAAAGAAAGGTAAGTAGGACATAATCACATTTACACAGGTAAGTAGTTATACAGACATAATCACATTTACACAGATAAGTAGTTCTTATTCTCTAGCTAGTTCTTATTTCTAGCTATGCTCCTAGCTAGTTCTTATTCTCTAGCTAGTTCTTATTCTCCTAGCTAGTTCTTATTCTCTAGCTAGTTCTTATGCTCCTAGCTAGCTTATTCTTATAGTTCTATTCTCCTAGCTAGTTCTTATTCTCCTAGCTCCTAGCTAGTTCTTATTCTCCTAGCTAGTTCTTATTCTCCTAGCTAGTTCTTATTCTCTAGTGCTTAGTTTCTCCTAGCTAGTTCTTATTCTCCTAGCTAGTTCTTATTCTCCTAGCTAGTGCTTATTCTCCTAGCTAGTGCTTATTCTCTAGCTAGTTCTTAGTTCTAGTTCTTATTCTCCTAGCTAGTTCTTATTCTTCTCTTATCTCTAGCTAGTTCTTATTCTCCTAGCTAGTTCTTATTGAGCAAGTTCTTATTCTCCTAGCTAGTTCTTATGCTCCTAGCTAGTTCTTATTCTCCTAGCTAGTTCTTATTCTCCTAGCTAGTTCTTATTCTCTAGCTAGTGCTTATTCTCCTAGCTAGTTCTTATTCTCTAGCTAGTTCTTATTCTCTAGCTAGTCCTTATTCTCCTAGCTAGTTCTTATTCTCCTCTAGTGCTTATTCTCTAGCTAGTTCTTATTCTCTAGCTAGTTCTTATTCTCTAGCTAGTTCTTATTCTCTAGCTAGTTTTTATTCTCCTAGCTAGTTCTTATTCTCTAGCTAGTGCTTATTCTCCTAGCTAGTTCTTATTCTCTAGCTAGTTCTTAGTCTCTAGCTAGCTAGTTCTCATGCTCCTAGCTAGTGCTTATTCTTAGCTCATTCTCCTAGCTAGTTCTTATTCTTATTCTCTAGCTAGTTTTATTCTCCTAGCTAGTTCTTATTCTCCTAGCTAGTTCTCATTCTCTAGCTAGTCTCTCATTCCCCTAGCTAGTTCTCATTCTCCTAGCTAGTGCTTATTCTCCTAGCTAGTGCTTATTCTCCTAGCTAGTTCTTATTCTCCTAGCCATCACATTTTTATTCATCTATAGCTAGCATATTCTTTTAGAAATGAGTTCCTAGCAGTCAAAATTAATAATTACAGGCTATTCACATAATTTTATTATGGAATTCAATATGTAAATCTTGATATTAATTTCAGCTCTCAAAGTTTAGAAATTTGTTGGAAAAGAAACACAGGAAGCATGGTGGTCATTCTCGTAGAAGCCGAAGACATATGAAGCGAGGCTCAGCGGCAGCTCTTGATGAGGCTGGAATCAAAGGCAACATTGCAGAGGAGCTGGAACTAGAGGCAGCACTGAAACGTGAATTAGCAACTCACACTGATGAACCACATCACCAGGATCCAGTTGGTCATGCAAACATTGGAGAAACACCAACCAAATTTCAGTTATATGATGAAGAAGTTCCTAAAGAGGCTCAGACTGATACAGAGATGAAACCAACTACTGAAGACCATGAGGATCATGATGAGGAAGCTACCCCCGCGCCAAAACCAAACCATCATCATCATCCAGACCATCACCATGGAAATAGTGCTGGTACAGAGATTGAGGTGGAAGAAGTAGAAATGATACAGGAATACCTTGTAAACAACTTTAGGCCAGTTCAGCCCCTAAACGGTCGTATTATTCAACGCAGTTTTGAATTTGAAGATGTCAGAGTTCGCCAAATTCATGGATCCACTCGATCTCGAAATTACAACAGTTATGAAGTACACAATGCTGGAAACCCATTACACATATCACATGTAGTCATTCTTGTGTCAGCCATATTGTCCGTTATCATGTATCTATAAATGTGTACAGAAATGTGTGAATACATCCTCTAACTATACAACCCTAGAAGACTATAGTGGACCTTTATACAGCTGTGTTGACTGTAGCAGGAAATATATCATCATACTTTGCAGCTACCACATCCATCATCATCCATGTCAAGTTCTTTTATACATTTGAAGGAAATAATTGTTTTATTTTAAAAATTGTATCAATACCTGATGTCTGCAATTATATAATTATCCTCGTCCAAAGGGTTGTGATTACCTATCTGTAATTTGATCATGGATAACTGTGGCTAATACATAAATAGTCAGAACCCTTTGGACTAAAATGATCCATGTCAAGTTTTCTCATAATGTACCAATAGATAGAAACCTGTTTACTTCTATAATCAGTGAGGATGGGAGTGAAAGGATAAAGAACAGATATATATACATGTATATATTTTGTTTATATGTGTCAGCTAGTGTTTAATTGTATCATGTAAGCATATTTTTTACATTGAAGGAATATAAACACTTTAATGCTATGGTAGTACAATACTCGCAGGGGTGTGACACAATATATTAACAGGTCTGTATAATACATATACAAACCATGGGGTGGGATATTTAATAAAAGGTGACAAGTCCCTGTGATTGGACTGACATGCATTGTGAATACTGACACAGTGATGTTACAGTTAAGTGTAAATATTTATAATTGGTAGTTTCATTATTTGATATTCAGCATAGTGAATAATATAGATAAATTAAAGAGCCTAACCTTACATAATTAGCAATTGTGGCGGAGAAAGCTTGTCAACAAAGAATTTAATTAGCAATATAAAGGAATGTTTATTTCTTAAGTTATACATTAAGAAGGGATTATTTTAACATGACTTTTAAATTTAGCCAGCTAAAAAGAAATTTGAGAATTAAAGTTTTATTAGTCTCCAATGAAGTTAAAATGATTTCATTGTCATTGTGATCACGTAACCAAGACTTTGTGAAAATAAAAAAGAATCTACTGAGCTATTATGTTGAAATCTTTCATTTTCATCACGACAAATTGCAAACCTAATAATGACACAACTGTAATATTAAACAGCTACCAGTGTCTGACTTACACAGTGTGAGACCTCATTAACAGCATAGAAACAGAATTTTTGTATGTAAAACAGGGACCATGACAGTAATCAAATTGTGAACTTTTATATCTAATTAGCAATACCATGTGTCCATTGAGACACAAAATAGTATCAACATCACCATGGAACCTCTGCTGTATCATTACACATAAAAGTAGACCTACACTTCCTACACATTATCTTTTGTGGTTTTCTTTTATAAAATATAATGTATCATGATGTTTTCATAAGCTAACCACTTTAATTAACATACAGAAACCAGAGTACTCAGAATAAACTAACATGTAACACAATCACAGAATTGTTGAACATCTGATTGGAGGACTGATAAATCTCAATCAGCTGTTTCATAATTAGTGTACATTAAGTTATAGTGTTCTAATGAGTCTACCACTTTTTGAGTTGATTAACAAATGAAGTTTCAGCACTACCTTGAGATGATTCTCTAGGTGAATTAACATAAGGGAGGTAACTCCCATTGTTACTCAGGATAAGTTAATAGAATTCCACAAGCTGGTAGGTATATATTTATCAGTATCATTCTTTCTTTATCTGAAAATTAAAATTTATGTAAATATGAATCTTATAATAACAAATAAATAAACCAACTTACACATATTTACATACTTAAATTCAATATCTATTTATCTATCTATTTATTCCTTGTTCTATTTAACAAGCTGAATTCAGCAGGTGAGACAAAATAGGAAAGTGAGTAAAATGGAATAACATTAAGTGAATGTAAAGAGAAGAAGGGGGATGGGATAGGGGTATAGAGATCAATTTAAAAGTAGTGGTGGTGGTGGTGGTGGTGGTGGGGGGGGGGGGGGGGGGGGGGGAGTCAATTGATAACGTTACACCACATCACATTCTCAGGTCATCACTTTTACAACAAAGTTATAACAGTACAAGGTCATCATTAAAATAAACAGCTGACAACTGAAATATACAAACCATGCAGCAAAACATAGAAAGAAATGAAATCAACAGCATCATCTGTTACAAGGACACATGACTTAATGATATTAACGCCAGACAAACAATAACATATACATAAATTTGCTGGTAACACTTATGGAAATGGTTTGAGATTCAGTGACCCTGAGGATGATCAATTCAGTGCATCCATAAGATGTCTGTTTAAGTCAGACAAAAGATGTCACAGATATCATATAAATATTTCCAAGTGTCATCAGAAAGAAGATTTAGTTATAGTGTGATGTGAACCAGGGACGCCAATCTCAACAGCATGGCTGGCTTCCTCTCACCTCTGTAAAGATAACCTCCAGGCAAATGTCTTTCAGTATCTGTTTTACCACGGGTTCTTGAATTCATATGTTTGGAACCATTGAGTTCTATAATGGTCATACTGTGTAAGATTTAGCAAAGTAACAAATATAAGATAAAACTACAAGACTCTGACAAGGGTAACATTATGTAGTCTAGCTTTACCAGACCAAATAAAGACATCTACGTATTCTCTACCAACCATACCTGTTTGACTCATGTCAGAAATTCAAACTTAACCAAAATCACATAAAGTTTCCTTCTACAGATTAACTTAGCCTTTAATAAAAAAAAAAGGAAATAATTTGTCAAGTTATACAGCATGGATGACCTTTTCTCTCAACAACCGACTCTAAAATCAGTCATGCCAGACAAATTCATATCCCATCACTGTAAGCTAGGCTGAGTTGTTTTCAACCATCATGCAAATGGAGACTTTGGATTTAGCCACATTAATTATCTACACAGACATTTTGATTTTGTCCTTGACTAAGATGTCTTGTTTAACACACAAAGGGGTAGAGCAATTAAGATGTTAATGGATGATCATGGTCAAAGCCCTGTCACGCACAGTTTGGTGTTGGCCAGTATACAATTAGTTGTCTCAGTGGACAGACATTTTCATGATACCTGGCAGTTTCTGATCATCCCAGGAGCAGCTGTCTGCATTTGTACACATATCTTATACACTCAAGGTAGGCCCATATAAGTGCTACCAGGAAATTGTATGCATGCCAAGAGAATCCTTGCACGCTGACCATATATTGGACCAGCTCTGATGCCACGTAGACAACAACTGCATCTTGATTGGATGCACAGACAAATAGATTTGGGACGAGTCAATTGAGGTGTAAGATGTTTGATGATGAGTCATACAGAATATCTCTGTATCGCTTGGACAAGGGGGAAAAATGGTGTATCACAGATATGGGGAACAATTCACAGATGCATGCATGGTGGAATGTGATATAGTGGGGTACTAAAATGGTTTATAAAAAGAATCCCAAAGAACAAAACTTCAATGCCATTAAATACAGAGACTGGATCTCCAACAGCATGTCTTTCTATATGTTAGATGTCATAACCACAGTTTTCAGCATTACAATATATGACAACATGTTGCCAAGGTATATTTTTAGTTTCTCATAACAATGTCCGGGCACTAAATAAATCCTGACATATCTCCAACTAAGCATTATAAAGATGAGTGTCATAGAAGTATCAGAAGACATCAAAACCTTCCTTTTATCTGTACCCTGTTGATTACAACATTGACAGAAACAAAATCCCTGGAGATGAAATAATATTCTAAAGAATTCCATTCAAAAGAGATTCCGTACATGAATATGTACGAGAGGTGCCATCAAATTAACATGGATGATGTCACACACACTTTCCTCTTACAGTAAAGTTTATGTTTCCTATTGTCTCTTTGTATTGATATCTAATTTTGTACAAACATTTCAAATGATCGTAATAATTAATAACATAACTTAATCATCTGTTTGATTAATTTAGCTGTTGACTATTTGTCATTGTTTCGTGGAGATAAATACCAAGTTTTTTACCACTTATGTACCTTTACACAATAGATTCTGCCTGTCTATGTGATAGGTGATATACTTATGTACCTTTACACAATAGATTCTGCCTGTCTATGTGATAGGTGATACACTTATGTACATTTACACAATAGATTCTGCCTGTCTATGTGATAGGTGATACACTTATGTACCTTTACACAATAGATTCTGCCTGTCTATGTGATAGGTGATACACTTATGTACCTTTACACAATAGATTCTGCCTGTCTATGTGATAGGTGATACACTTATGTACCTTTACACAATAGATTCTGCCTGTCTATGTGATAGGTGATACACTTATGTACCTTTACACAATAGATTCTGCCTGTCTATGTGATAGGTGATACACTTATGTACATTTACACAATAGATTCTGCCTGTCTATGTGATAGGTGATATACTTATGTACCTTTACACAATAGAACAGATTCTGCCTGTCCATGTGATAGGTGATACACTTATGTACCTTCACACAATAGATTCTGCCTGTCCATGTGATAGGTGAGACACTTATGTACCTTCACACAATAGATTCTGCCAGTCCATGTGATAGGTGATATACTTATGTACCTTTACACATTAGATTCTGCCTGTCCATGTGATAGGTGATATACTTATGTACCTTTACACAATAGATTCTGCCTGTCCATGTGATAGGTGATATACTTATGTACCTTCACACAATAGATTCTGCCTGTCCATGTGATAGGTGATATACTTATGTACCTTTACACAATAGATTCTGCCTGTCCATGTGATAGGTGATATACTTATATACCTTTACACAATAGAACAGATTCTGCCTGTCCATGTGATAGGTGATATACTTATGTACCTTTACACAATAGAACAGATTCTGCCTGTCTATGTGATAGGTGATATACTTATGTACCTTTACACAATAGATTCTGCCTGTCCATGTGATAGGTGATATACTTATGTACCTTTACACAATAGATTCTGCCTGTCAATGTGATAGGTGATATACTTATGTACCTTTACACAATAGATTCTG